ATCACTGTCTATCTATCTATCTATCTATCTATCTATCTATCTTCTATCTATTTTTCTTCTTTGTAAGATAAAGTATTCAAGATACCAATCTCATTTCTTCCATGGTTTTATTCATCATCATCCCATAAACTGTTATATTGTTTGGTGTTTTGGGGCTTGGAGTGAATGGAAACAAAGAGGTGGAACATAATCAGGTGGGTGTAGCGTTGATGCCTTTATAGAAGAATCCCTTTCCATTCATGCAACTTCCCTTCTTTGTGTTGAAAATCTGCACAGGACGCCGCTCAATAAAAGCTAAGCCAAACTGCTCTTCACTGTAGGAGCTACCCTCTCATAAATAAAATGAAGACAAAATTTCATACATAAAAGATAAAAGTAAGGAAAAATAATATTTTTAAAAAGAAAAAAGAAAAGGGAAAAAAAATACATGTGAAATCTTAAGCAAGTGGTGCTGGAGAGAAGTGTGGATGTCTGGCAGTGATGAGTCCTGGTGATGATGGAAGAGTATCCAACCGAAGGCCTTCAAACTCTTCACCTCATGGCAAGAGGCCGGTGAAAATGTCCATCCGTAATCTGCTTGAATGGGCCAAGGATTCCCATGGACCCCATCGCCCTTCCTCTTCTGTTGCTCTCTGCTTGCTGAAGAGGCCTTCCAGATCTGATAATCCAGGGACCTTCTCACACGTGGTCCTAATAGTAAGCATCTTCATATGCATCAGTCCGTAGGCAGTAAAGGATGGCTGCTCCCAGCATAAAGATGGCCGAACCCCAACCCAAACCATATCCCCAGTTGAACTCATGGTAGCTTCTCAACGGGCTGCTGTCAATGAACTTGATGGGGTAGAGAATTAAAGCGCAGATCTGGAGAACCACTGGATCGATGGAACAACAACAGGAGAAACAAGTTTGGTTAAAACCACTGGCCAAGGTATCAATATATATTTATTTACCCAAGGTGGGGAGGGGGTCTAGAGAAAGGGAAGACCTACCTGCTGCAAAGAGAAGAATCGACACGATCCGATAATAGTATTTATAGTTCCCCAGGCAGAAGGCTATCAGAGACATGAGGAAGGCCAGCAGAGTGATGGTGGCAGCTGTCAGGATTAACACCAGGGTAGTGATTTGCCAATCTGCAAAAAAAAAAAAAAAAAAAGGCAGAAGGGAAAAGAAATGAAGAAGAAACTTAAGTCACAGTCAGTAACCATGGTAGGCAAATATTATTTTGGGGGTTGGGTTCTTTTGGTTTACTTTCTTTTAATTCTGAACAGAGTAGAACAGAACAGAACAAAATAACAGAGTTGGAAGGGACCTTGGAGGTCTTCTAGTCCAACCCCCTGCCTAGGCAGGAAACCCTATAGCATTTCAGACAAACGGTTATCCAATCTCTTCTTCAAAACTTCCAGTGTTGGAGCATTCACAGCTTCTGGAGGCAAGTTGTTCCACTGATTAATTGTTCTAACTGTCATGAAATTTCTCCTTAGTTCTAAGTTGCTTCTCTCCTTGATTAGTTTCCATCCGTTGCCTCTTGTCCTGCCTTCAGGTGCTTTGGAGAATAGTTTGACCCCCTTTTCTTTGTGGCAGCCCCTGAGATATTGGAAGACTGCTATCATGTCCCCACTCATCCTTCTTTTCAATGGACTAGACACACCTAATCCCTGCAGTGGTTCTTCATATGTTTTAGAAACCATTCTCTTCAAACCACATCAAATCAAACCTTTATTGTCAATGCACAATAGGTGTACAAGGAAATTGAATTGCTTTTACTTTTATATCCCAACAAAAGCTGTTGACCGCCTTTCTTGGAACCGAGCTTTTCAGAACCTCCAGGAATAATTTCAGTTTTTCATTCCCCGTATTTTTTTAAAAAATGTTTTCTTTAAGAAAGGAAGCAAATGCTACTCAAAGGCCTTTTTTAAAAAAACTGTTGTTTCAGGTGATGCAGCCAAATGGCTCGGCTCTCAGCTGGGTGCCTAGATATGTCTTAGTTTTTCCTGGAGAAGATCCTGCCAACATCTCCAGATACACCCTTCACATACTGTGGTGTTCAAGTGGTGCTTCAGCTGTTCTGGGACTGCACTCAAGGCACCTATTACTATTGGTACGACACTTGCTTGCCGTTATGATTATGAGGATGAGGATGAGGATGATGAGGAGGATTCACAAAAAATGACAGGGAACACAGCAAACGAGATAACTATGCTGGGTCTCGTATCACAAATCACTAGTCGAACACTTCCCAAGCATTTATTATTATTATTATTATTATTATTATTAT